GTAATTTCATTATAAGTACTGAAACTTGTTAAGTGACTGAATGGTCATTAGCTTTCTTGTATGAATAACCATTCAGTTAAATTATTTATAGATTTGTGTAACGGATTTACGTTAGTTAAACAATCATTGTAAACCAAGAAGTATTGAGCGGCTATTTCGTCCGAGTACGCGACTAATCAACAATGTATTATCACAAAACCAACAGGAATGGAATTTAAAACCTTTAAGCTCCTCACAGTGAGCGTGATACTTGTGTAATATTGTAAGTTAACTAAGTTTAGAATAATAAACCATTTGATACTATCTCAGTGGTTTGAAGGTTAAGTGCTCTTTGATAGTGTTTGTGAATGCCCAATGTTGTCGAATAGCACAATAAGAAAAAAAAAACAGCTAATCAGTAATTCCTGGTTTACACTGATTGTCTAACTAAGATATCTTCTAATCTATCTAGTGTTAAGGATTATTTTTTATAAATTAACATATTTGATTGGGTTGCTTTATCAATGAAAAGGAGTAACATTAATTTATATCAAGATTTTAGTGAATAATCATTTTAAATGGCGTCATTTTCAACCAGTTATAATTATTTATTTTACCAGAAATAAATGTTTCTACTTTCTATATTTAACATAAATAGGTATGATATACAAAGAATAATAGGTAACGGTTTCTCAGAGAAAAACATTAGTTTTGTATTAGCCGATTAGAATTAAACAGAATCAAATGTCACCTCTTTTATTAAATCAACAAATATCAAAAATTTGTAACAAAGTAGAGCTTTCAATTAAGCTACACTCCTTTTGAAAAATATGGTTATCTGTTATATTGACGAACAAATTGTTTGCGTCAATTTAGTATGTGAATAAAAGTTTCTGTTGATATCTGTCAAATAGTGGATTCATTGTAATCAATTAAATTTAGCATATTATCATCGGACAAGATAGTGACAGAATATTATGACGCTACATTTTGTAGTTTCTCAAGCTGCATTACTTTTGAAGACCGGTTACATCAAAGATTGATATCAGCTAGACAGCTAGTAAACAGTAGAGTACTAGATAACTGTTTCGTTCTAATAGGGGACTGCTAAGTAGTAAACACTCAAAATACCTAGAGAGATCGAATTCAGTTCATCAGGTCAGAAATACACTAAGAATATGAGTAGGGATTCATCAGTTTACCTATCCAATGTTAGTTTATTTCTCTTTCTAACTTAAACAGCCAGACAAATAAAATTATATGAGATACAAAGCTTTCAGATTACAAAAGTGAACTAATAAAAAAGTTTACAATGACTATATAACTACAAATTTGTCACATGTTAGATTGAGTTAACAATAATTCTTTACTCAGAGACATGTAGGGAATGAAAAACATTATTTATACTAGATAAATAATTTGAATTAGTTATATCGTGTAAGAAGTCGCGTCAAGGTTATTTTATTTACAGCTTCTAATAGGTAGATGTACATACAATCATGTATACCGATAGACTGAGAAAGTTAAAGAATACAAAATGTAACTACATTTCAATTAATATCATTTCTGTGCGGTATAACTCTTAGCTTATTGTTAAGATGGATGTTCTAAACATTGAAATTATTTTAATGAACGAATTATTTTAAAATACAATGGTTTAGCGAAATCACATTTTTGATAGCAAAATTATAGTACAAAATTATACACCCACAATATGAAGTTTTCTTTAAGTAAACACGTAGTTCTAAAATCTTTTTTCAAGTTCGGAATGAAATTTAAGTAATATCAGCTAAAATCATTTGTAAGACAATAACAAAATAAAATGCACATCAACTACTTTCGTCGTTTTTTTTCAAACTATACTGTCATAAGTTTGTGTGTGTATGTGAAGGGGTTCAAATATTTTGTGTTCCTCACTTACATAACCTTTATATATGTTGTTTAAGGTGTAGAGAAAAATAAATGACACATGGGAGTATAAATTGTGGTCTTTGATATCTAAACTGTTGTTATGGTTACAAAAATAAGTGACAGGGGAATTTAAGTATCACAATTATAAAAGCAATTTGATCTATTCGTTAGGTGAAAAAAAACATTTTTAAAATTTTACGTGGTTTGATATTACAATTATTACATGTGAAGTAACTTGAAATTAACAATCAATTAATCCGCGTATTAGTTAGATAAACAGATTGATAGATGAACCGATCAGGTTGGTTCTTACAAAAGTTTTGAGGGAAGTTATTTGAAGTTTCAAATGAAAACTGATCCGAAGTGTAAATTCGGATTTACTCTTGTGTGTAAAATGTCTAATGAAGTGGTCTTTGTTATTTGAAAAATTTAACATTAAATAAACAAAAACACTTGATAAATATCAAACCAAATTTCTTCACCATTTGGGTAGCCTTTTGGAATAAGTAGAGATTCCGACATTCTACTAGATCATAAATAATGTAAGATATTGATTGCTTTCTGAGGTTCCTTATATATATATATATATATATATATATATATATATATATTTATATATATAACATAAAATTAGCATGCATTTCTAGCATAAAAGCACTCATGAAACACTCGTAAATCTTTTCTGCTACTTATTTAAATGTGTGTGTACTGATCAACTTAATTTTTTCAACAAAAACAATATTAAGAGTCAGCTGCTTAAGTCTGAACTCTTTATTATTGGACATGAATCCTCATGACTTTTTGGTTGGATTGCGGCGAGCAATCCAAATATAATTTCTCTGCATTGACCTAGACGCGAAAAGCCGCTTGTTATATAGTTTATAGTATGTAAGAGAATCATATTATCTACGTAATACCATTTACCTTTAGTGCTAATCGAAGACATAAACAATTTTTTCAAATGTGAAGCGATGCATAATTAAAAAAATTAGAATTAGTTCGAATCAATTCATCAGTTGAACTACAACAAATATGTTGAACATATTCAGGACGTTCATTTTCTATATTTTCGAACTTAGAAATACGGGGTGAATTAAGGGTTTCACCTTGTTTGAGCTTATAACATAGTAATCATGCACTTTATTTGGTATGATATTTACTTAGGCTAACATGCAGTATTTGATGAGTGTTAATTTAGAGAGAAATTCACTTTCACATCCCTAGTATTTCAGTTATGTAAGATATCCATATAAAAAAACAGGATCTGTGGTATAAATATGTGCATTTGTCAGTAAGTTGTCGTTAAGCTTTCGGAGAGTGAATAATAAATTCACTTATGAAAAGTATTTGTTTCCCTCCCTAAGTTGTGCAAATTTCATTTTTCTCCACAGCAGTTAACTGAAGTCGTATTACACCCCAGGATATTTTCCTTGGTTAACTTATGCTACTTTTATTTATTCAATAGCCACTCATTATATAGTGAAATATACTGCCCAGCCATACAACCTAATCTTTAATGTAAATTACCAGCAATATTTTCCACGAAAAGTAAAAATGAATCGTTTTCTTTTCAAATAGGGGCTGAAACTCAAACCATACAATCGATCTTGCTCCGAGGACAATACTCTATTCCAAAACTTTTTTTCATAGTATAAAATGATAAACATTTTTTTAAACAACTGTCATTTTTATGCGTAGATGGATATTAGTTAACAGTGGAAACCAAGACGCACATTTCGTTCTATTTGGGATTGTTATTTTTCACCAAATGATAAAATAACGTAATCTCCATCTAACGCTTCTGTTATTTGGTTGATACAAAATAGAGAGTCTTCGGTGTTAGTAAATACACATAAACTTTGTGGTTTAACGTGAGTTGATGGATGGGTATATTTTACCTAGTGACCTCACACAAACTTACCTTGAATAGTATATTTTCTATTTGTGGTACCATTAGTGATTAAATGTTTTTCGGAGGCAGTTTGGACCGAATGACTTCATTTGCCCACTATCCCTGAGAAATTTATCGTGTTAGATAGACAATAATAGGTGACAAGAGCAGTAACAGTTCTCCGATCCCAAAGAAGAATCGGACCATTTAGAGATGGTAAGCTTAATGATACCAGTCAAATTGGCGATAAATCTTTTTACTATACGGATTTATGGAGATTACAGCATTTCCTTAGTCCAAATGACGAACTAATCTTAGTTACGCCAACATTAAAAGCCTAGAAGCGATGGACAGCCATTTCATTGTTGTATGGGACTCTTATGCAACGCGTATCCACAACCCTGCAATGAATTCGATCAATTTGTGATTTAAACTACAAAAATCTTATTAAGACATTGAAATATTCTTTATATAAATGAAACTATATGTTCCTGAACTAAGTATTACTTTTTTACAAAAGAAACATTCGCTCAACTAAGATGTTATAAAAATCAGCATGATGATCTGTTTAAAACCAAAACCAAATTATGTTTTGTATAGTATTATTTTATCTGACAAGCGCAGCAATAAGAGGTTAGGATTTACTTAAAAAGAGAAATTTTAAAACGTAACTGTGTCTGCTTTTGAGTATGTCAGTGTCACTATGCAGATTATAAAAGGTTACCTCATCCGTATGATCTGGATTAAAAGCTTTATGAACGATCTGTCTCGGCTCGACACTAATATTTTTATATTCTGAGCATATGCTACTTTAATCATTTAAGTAGATGAAAAATATGTACTAAACATTCACTGATGATGTCCCAATCGAAAGGAAACGTGGATGGCTCAGCATTTTCTGAATGGAATGAGTTTCTTAGAGGCTGCATAACATTTAAACAAATAGTTGAATGAAGCCAAAATTACTTTATGTGCAGTATTTTGTTTATGGAAAGATATACCGAATCACAGTTAACCTAAAGTGAGTAACAATATACATTTACAACAACGATCAGATTTTAATTATGAAATTATGCAACTACCAGAAGTGTCAAAAGTAACTACAACCCAATTTTCGACATTGATGCATAAATTTTTAGTTTCTTAACCTTATTTTTGGTTGGACAAATTGCATTTCTAAACTTAACCTTGTATTGCGATTTTTTTATTCCATTAACAGGACCAAACTCAGTTCAGCGGCGTCGTGGTCGTCAAACGTACAGTCGGTATCAAACGTTAGAATTAGAAAAAGAGTTTCAGTACAGTCACTATTTAACACGAAGAAGACGAATCGAAATAGCTCATAATCTCTGTTTAACTGAGCGACAAATCAAAATTTGGTTTCAGAATAGAAGAATGAAATTGAAAAAGGAACGCCAACAAATAAAGGAATTAAATGACGAAACAACTCGTCAAACAACTGTAGATCCAGTGCACCATAGCCGACGTCAAATGGGCTCATCACATCAGTACTTCGAAATGATGAATTCTAACAACAATAACAGTTATTATTCAACAACTTCTAATCCAAGCATTCTTGATTCAAAAGACAACTGTCAACTTGACTGTAAACCATTATCGTTACATAAGAAATCAGGTTTGATCCCAAAGTTACTGAGTAACAATATACAATCAGATCCGATCATTACAGGTGGATTTTTACCATCAGCTAATAGGGGTCTACAATCAACAGTAAGCTACCCTGGAAGTCAAGGTGGACTTGGTCAGGGGGACTCTGAGGATTGTGAACCAATGGATAGTGAAGATGATGATGAGGAAGATGATTTTTGTGAGTCAGAGGACTTTCAAGGACCTAAAGTTCCCAAACTTGCACATGAATATAATAATCCTCATCTAATGAGAACAAACATTCTGCGCGACAAATGATATCCATAGAAACTTAAGCTTTTGTGTTTAGAAGAAAAAGCCATGAATACTATCGAAAACAAGAACAAATTAGCACACATGACATTATTTTGTTTTGTCTGTATGAACTTGAACTCTAGTTTTCCTAATTTTTATTCTCCCTCTCCAATTCGTGTTTTAAGTTAAAATAAACTGCTGTCAGTAATCCGTGAAACCTGTACCAGCACTTTTACTGCTGGTGCATAAAACATATAAAGGATTAAAATGCCAACATAATTCCACAACATTTAAAAACTATGTTCTACCTGTGTAGTATCATGTACCAAAGACCTTTACCAATTTTCTTAATTATGAAACACTACTTTTTAAATTAAGTAGTATGAATATAAAAGTGTTTTTTATTTTGACAAATAAATTGTAGGACTCAAACTTGTAAGGAAGTCATTCTACTTATAAATATAAGATCAGTGAATGTTTAAAGTAAGTTAAAACGATATGAATCAAGTGTATAAGTCTAAGCTGGGTAATAATTCTACTCCTAAAATGAACTACCAGGTAAAAATGTGATGGAGTAATTGTTATCAGCGATGATTGATGGATAAAGCTCATAGATAGGTTGTACATCTATCAAAAGTTATGCACTTTCTTACTTGGGCAGGGTGACCACTAAAGTACGGGGATATAATATTCCCGTAAGTCACGATGAAATAAAACGTTTATTCATAAACTTCCCCATGACAAGACTACGTTCAGTCAGCTATGATTAGTAGAGTACTCTAAGATTATAAGCATCCTCTCGATTGCTACTCCGCACTATCACAGAGTGATAAGATTGACAAATTGAATAGTAGATGAGTTAAGATTATCATCATATAAATGGTAGTTAGAAAGACAAGCGACAGAGACTATGATTCGAACAGAGGGAATAAATTTGCAGAATAAAAATTATAAAATAATATTGAAAATGAAGATTCAGGGGTAAATGGAAAGAATACATAGCATGATTCACAACTTTTGAAATTACAGATGACTTCTAGAAAGAATGGGAACGTATCGTATTTATGTACTAACATTTATCAGTTTGAAACTTGATGATACCTGAACCAATCATATTTTCAGGATTATAGCCCTCATGAACTCACATCAACTGCAAACGACACAGAAAAGTACAAATAACCAAATAATCAATATGTCCTGTTTCGAGACCTTCAAGGCTATACCAACTCATAACATAAAAGTGCATAAAAGCTTGATGCAGGAATGTTTTTGATAGTAATCCACAAATTAAACTGTAGGAAAGTTCACCGAAGGTATAAATAAATAACAGCTAAGCTGAAATAATAATAACGTCTTCAAACTTCAATTGATTGGTAAACGCGAATTGATGCCCCATTATTCAGAAAACAAAAATAAGTAAAATTTGTAATGAATTTATAAAAAAATAGGACGTATCCAATTCGTTACGATTTTATGTCCGGCTTTTATCACGTGAATTATCCACTAATTGTAATACGACTTTTCCGATCACAATACTGTGCCAATAAATGACGTTGAACCAGTATGAGTAGCCTTGCGTCCTTAATGATCCCTTGTCCGCCTAGCCCTTCCAACTGAATCTAGCACAGCAATTGCAACTTCTGCTACACGAATCATTTATATAAAGCATACTCAGTTTATATACCAGACAGGCAGACCGCATCACACAATAAAATAGAAAATAATATTTGCACAAGATCGAGCCAAATGTAGCTGAGAACATGGGATACTGTAATCAATAAACTGAACATAATTTGGGAACAGTAAATCGTACAGTAATAATTCATATGTCAAAATGAAGCTTATTATAAGATGAATATATATAGATTGAATCTAATCACTCAATAGTTATACAATAAGAATATATATAGAATAAGAGTTCATTAACAGGTTCCGGAAGCTACCCGTACTTTCATTATAACTAGGATATAACAAAATTGTATCGAAGACATTTCTTGTCAGGTCTGTTTAAACACTCTTATTTATGATTAATCATTATGTAACACGTATTACATCAACATGAACGAGTATGGACTATTCAAATTACTTTATAATCTGCATATTATTAAGAAAAACTAAGTAGGAAACACTCCTTTTTACCAATCTAATTTCAATGCCTTAATTAAAATGTAATTTTCATTTAAAAATAAAAGGGTTAAAGTAATCGAATAAGAAATAAAAATCTCACTGTATATTAGAACATAAGGTTATTAACTGATAAATGATGATTAATATACCTTTTGTTATCAACATATGGGCTTAGAAACAAAACTATGATTGAAAGCCGTATTGATAAAACAAAATATGAAAATTTTCAAAATCATTATATGTAGTGAACAAGAACATGAATGGGACAATCGAATATATTAGCAGGAACTTACAGAATATTCTCAGTAAAAGGAGAACCATATAGTAAATAGTTAATTTGCAAATTATTAATCGGTTATTTCAATCTCAACCATTCCTTCTGCAAAAATCAGTCCATTGACATTGATTATTATTATTCATGCATTTTCATACCAATTGTGTTTCGTTCCAGTTCTTTCTTATTGATCTATTACTGAAATACATTCAATGACCGACAACCGTTATATACTACTTATGTAGATATAAGTAACCCACATCACACATATTCTCATGAAAAATGTGGGTTACATGAAATGAATACATTCATTTAGTGATTAATTTATGATTTTTCCTCCTCAAAGTATATTACTTAAATTGATAAAATAAAACATTTTAAAAAGATTTTCAAGGTTAAACTTATCATTATTAAAATGAATGTAACATCTTTATTAAGTGTATTCTATGAGAAAATAGTTCAATGTTCAATGTCAAAATACATTTATTAAATCATTCTCAAGTTCTCCATACTTATATAGGTTAATGATTATTGTTAACAATTGACTTGAAAATTGTCTTCTTGTCTAAACAAACTGACATTGTAACAATAATAGAAAGTTTTCATGAAATAAAGTATTATAATAAGATAATTAATAAGGGGGGGCAATGTTTAACTGATCAAAATTCTGTTATCAATTACTGGCAATTCTGTTATCATTACTGTTATCATTACTAACTTACACATATTGTTGATAAAATATAAAAATGGTAACCTAGTCAATGTGGCATAAAATTATTCAACATCGAACAAGTCATTCAAAACTTGTACTACAGATTACATCATTCAAGTATATTAATGATGTCAGATGAATGAAAAGATACATAAAATAGTTACACAATAAATCGTAAGAAAATCTTTTTATAATCGATTAGTTTAAAGTACCAAGGATAATTTAGTGCTCTTCGTTGCATATATCAATGTAATTATAAATATAAACCACAGACATGGGTGTACATTTGATTTTAGTGAACGAATAAAGAAAATATTACGACTGTATTTGTTTCATAAGGTAGCTTTCATTTGCGAATAGTAGTCCATCCGTTACTTACTTAATTACGACTGTTACCCGTCGTGGAGGAGCATAGGCCGCTCACCAGCATTCTCTATCTAACCCTGTCTTGGGCAATCCTTTCAAGTTCTTTCCAGTTGTTATTCATCCTTTTCATATCTGCTTCTATTTCCTGGAGTAATGTTTCCTTTGGCCTCCCTCTTGTCCGCTTCCCTTCCGGATTTCAAATTAGGGATTAACTTGTAATGCACATTGTTGATTTCCTTAATGAATGTCCTAACCACTTCCAACGTTTTTTCCTAATTTCCTCTTCAGCTGGAAGCTGGTTTAGCCTCTCCCATAAAACCCTGTTGCTGATAGTATACGGCCAGTGAATGTTGAGTATTTTGAGTGGACAACTGTTTATAAATACTTGTACGCTTTTGATGATGGCTGTAGTAGTTCTCCACGTTTCAGCTCCGCTCAGTATGACTGTCGACGTTCGTATTGAAGATTTTCACTTTGAAATTAGTTGACAATTGAGTCCATCCGTATTTTATTAGAATAACTTGTGAAGAGAAAAACTGTACACTTGGAAAATAAATGGTACATTATCCCAAATGAACGTTGATCAAACGTTTACAAGTTCATTTAGACTTTGCATTGTGAAATGTAGACCTATCACTATTGAATAGAATTCTGTTAAAAACTGAATTCAATTCTAGACTGAAATCTTTAATTAAGAACAATATGAAAATCGATGTTTTCACAAATTAAGATATTTAATGAACTGTAACTGTTATTGCATTGTTACGATCCAAAGGAAAGTTAAGACAGTTTAATTATATGATAGTTGGAATAAAGTTTAAAGGATAATAGTGGAAACCGATATACATTATTAATTAATCACGGATCTTTTCGAAATATTAACTACCTCGCATAATGTGTGAATAACACTAAAATTTTCATTTTATTCAGTCTCAAGGAATTCACTGATAGGAAACAAAATATTATCACGGAAATTCAAAAAATAATACAAAAATTTATACTTTACATTTGTTTCAGGAATGGATCAGTACATTACTATATCAAACAAACTAAACAGAAAAGGGACAATTAATTAAGAAAAAGTTATAACAATTGACAACAGAGGCATAAGTAATAATCAGATCAATGAATAATCAATTGAAATGTATACAAAATATACCGTAGTATAGAAATTATAAGCAAAGTTGGATAGTGGTTAGTAATGGAATCCAGGATGCGCACTTCATCCTATCTGGAACTCGTCAGCTGGATGCACCTGCATTTCAGAGTTGGTGTTCATTTCGGGACTCGAATCCAGTACCGTTCGCTTCAAATGCCATTGCGTTATTCACTCAGCTACTGAGTTCTGATAGTATAGTAAGCTTAAAAGGTTACTCTTTGAGATTATATTTTGGATAGTATCTGATAGTAAAATTTTGAACTTGCGTTTTTATATACACGATTGATTTGTCAAAAACAATGTATTTGCATTCCATTTTCTATGTTCATAATGAGACTCAAATCCAACATCTAAAATTTTCAATAAATCAACTTTTCCAATACATAATATCTATTTTCTTCACATATACTACAAAGAATTAAGTGGATGTACGACTGCTAGATTTTGACTAACATAATACTCTGTATCTGATCCCATTGAATACACTTATCAAAGATAAATTAATATTTGGTTCATATATTTGAAGTGGTACCGAAGAAAATAATGTATGGAATCACGTAGTAAATCCGACACGAATATTCATATCAACATCTGCGCTTCCTAATCACTGTAATTTAATTGACAGTGATTCATGTTTTTATTATTTATCTACAAATAAATCCAATCTATAATGTGTAAATTGGAGTTATATGCAGTGTTTATATGTAGTGAACGAGAACACAGGTGGGAACAATCAAATGTATTTGAACACGAAATTACGCAATCTCTTAGTAAAATCTGAAAACCATACAATA